TTACCGCAAGGTATATATCTGATTTATTAAAAATTTGATTTTTGCACATATGATAAAATATGAGAACTCTTAAAGAAAACTCGAGTAATAAATTTTGAATAATTAGATATAATGTCTTTTTAAAACAAAACATAAATCTACCTTAGAATACTTATAACAAATGTTTTATCTGTTTTTTTGCAAAATTTTCTTTTGCAATATGCTAAAAATTAAAGAAAACAATAAAAAAAAAACTATGATTATAAATATATGATCATTTTATATATCTATATATCTTTTAGGAGAACAACCACAAATTTTATCATGTCATAGATAAAAATAGCACCAAAATTAATTTTATTCTTTCAAGGTTTTAATTTTAATTTTTATTAATTCATAAATTATTTATTTATCTGTAAATTTTTTAATTTTTTAAGAAAAAAAAAAATCTATTAGTTAGTCTTATCCACTATATTAGATTATGATTTGTAGTTGGATCAAAATTATTTACTTCAAAAAATAATAGAAGTTTAAAAACCATCTACTCATAAATATATAAGAGCATACTTTAAATAGATAAAATAATAGTAAACTAGATACATTTCAAATATATAGAAGTCTAAATTAAAAATATATTGCACATAATACAAAAACTTAAAAATCAATAAAAAAATGTTTTTATATTTATTATTATTTTTTGTACTTTAATACTACAAATGGGTGACAATTGCAAGAATTCAAGTCGCATTCAATTATAACTTCTTTTTTTCACAATTTATATATTAAAATTATATGTCTATGTTGTGCTATTTTGTTTATAAATTATGTGACAACTAAGAATATAGAATAAGACAAAGACACTTCTATCAGCTAAAATTTTTAATATCTTTGAATTTTTAAGGATGCAAGAACAAAAAAGTAAGAGATTAAGTATTATAAGAAGAATTAGACTTAATACGTGAAAAGAATTAAGACAATGTTTAAATTGCTCATTATTACTGGCAAGATTGAAGTACTATTTATGTTGTCTTTTTGTTTATACTATATCAAATATATCCTAGAGAAGTTTCTAGGGGACTTTGGAAGCTCTTAGTGATTATGGAAGGTTCAAAAAAAAATTTGGAAAATTCAAAAGATGTCTTAGATTGTGATTTTATTGTGTAAAGAATTTTTTTAAATAAATAAAATTATTATATTATTTCTTGATATTTAAAAAAATTATTTAATATAATTTTATCTTTTTATTTTTTAAAAGATTATTAGAAGGTATTTGTGAAAGATTTATAGAGCATAGATGTAGTTTTAATTTTTTTTTATTAAATAGATAAGTTTATTCAACTAACAACTGTGTTTCTATTAATTTTGTATTAATAATAATTTTAAAAATAATTTAGTGTAATTATAGATATTTATATTATTTATTGAAGAAGGTTTCTCAACCACTATGTTTGTAACTATCATCTTATAACCTAATCAAAGCTAAAGGATCTTTTAAAAAATTTCTAAGCTATAGTTGTTTGTAACAAGATCATTTTCAATATTTAAAAAAATCTTGCTTTACTTCAAGGATATCTATAAGATGGTAAAGGATGTAACAACTATTATAATTTATCCAATAATTATTGTTGTTGATTTAACAATTAAAACAAATGAAATTGAGATTGAGTGTCTTGAGACTCTATAAAAATAAAAATAAAAATCTAGCTTGACATAGGAATATCAAAAATCTATGTCTAAAGAATGTTAGCTTTCAAAAAAATTAAAAAACCAATAATTCTCATTGAATAATTTATTCTATTTTTCTA